ATGACACGTTAGTGTGGGCCACGGTGACACGTTAGTGTGGGCCTCGATGTCACGTTAATGTGGGCCACGGTGGCACGTTAGTGTGGGCCACGATGACACGTTAATGTGGGCCACGGTGGCATGTGTTAGTGTGGGCCGCGATGTTACGCGTTAGTGTGGGCCACGGTGACACGCGTTAGTGTGGGCCACGGTGGCACGCGTTAGTGTGGGCCACTATGGCACGCGTTAGCGTGGGCCACGGTGGCACGCGTTAGTGTGGGCCACGATGGCACGCGTTAGTGTGGGCCACGATGGCACGTTAGTGTGGGCCACGATGACACGTTAGTGTGGGCCACGATGACACGTTAGTGTGGGCCATGATGTCACGTGTTAGCGTGGGCCACGATGACACGTTAGTGTGGGCCACGGTGGCACGCGTTAGCGTGGGCCACGGTGGCACGCGTTAGTGTGGGCCACTATGGCACGCGTTAGCGTGGGCCACGGTGGCACGCGTTAGTGTGGGCCACGATGGCACGCGTTAGTGTGGGCCACGATGGCACGTTAGTGTGGGCCACGATGACACGTTAGTGTGGGCCACGATGACACGTTAGTGTGGGCCATGATGTCACGTGTTAGCGTGGGCCACGATGACACGTTAGTGTGGGCCACGGTGGCACGCGTTAGCGTGGGCCACGGTGGCACGCGTAAGCGTGGGCCACGGTGGCACGCGTTAGCGTGGGCCACGGTGGCACGCGTTAGCGTGGGCCACGGTGGCACGCGTTAGCGTGGGCCACGATGGCACGTGTTAGTGTGGGCCGCGATGGCACGTTAGTGTGGGCCACGATGACACGTTAGTGTGGGCCACGATGACACGTTAGTATGGGCCACGGTGGCATGTGTTAGTGTGGGCCGCGATGTTACGCGTTAGTGTGGGCCACGGTGACACGCGTTAGTGTGGGCCACTATGGCACGCGTTAGCGTGGGCCACGGTGGCACGCGTTAGTGTGGGCCACGATGGCACGCGTTAGTGTGGGCCACGATGGCACGTTAGTGTGGGCCACGATGACACGTTAGTGTGGGCCACGATGACACGTTAGTGTGGGCCATGATGTCACGTGTTAGCGTGGGCCACAATGACACGTTAGCGTGGGCCACGGTGGCACGCGTTAGCGTGGGCCACGGTGGCACGCGTTAGTGTGGGCCACGGTGGCACGCGTTAGCGTGGGCCACGATGGCACGTGTTAGTGTGGGCCGCGATGGCACGCGTTAGTGTGGGCCGCGATGTCACGTGTTAGCGTGGGTCACGATGTCACGCGTTAGTGTGGGCCACGATGACACGCGTTAGTGTGAGCCACGATGGCATGTGTTAGTGTGGGCCACGGTGGCACGCGTTAGTGTGGGCCACGGTGGCACGCGTTAGTGTGGGCCATGATGGCACACGTTAGTGTGGGCCACGATGGCACGTTAGTGTGGGCCTCGATGTCACGTGTTAGTGTGGGCCACGATGACACGTTAGTGTGGGCCACGATTACACGTTAGTGTGGGCCACGATGACACGTTAGTGTGGGCCTCGATGTCACGTTAGTGTGGGCCACGATGACACGTTAGTGTGGGCCACGATGACACGTTAGTGTGGGCCACGATGACACGTTAGTGTGGGCCACGATGGCACGTTAGTGTGGGCCACGATGACACGTTAGTGTGGGCCACGATGGCACGTTAGTGTGGGCCACGATGACACGTTAGTGTTGGCCTCGATGACACGTTAGTGTGGGCCACGATGACACGTTAGTGTGGGCCACGATGGCACGTTAGTGTGGGCCACGATGACACGTTAGTGTGGGCCACGATGACACGTTAGTGTGGGCCACGGTGACACGTTAGTGTGGGCCACGATGACACGTTAGTGTGGGCCACGATGACACGTTAGTGTGGGCCACGATGGCACGTTAGTGTGGGCCACAATGACACGTTAGTGTGGGCCACGGTTACACGTTAGTGTGGGCCTCGATGTCACGTTAATGTGGGCCACTGTGGCACGTTAGTGTGGGCCACGATGACACGTTAGTGTGGGCCACGATGTCATGTTAGTGTGGGCCACGATGACACGTTAGTGTGGGCCTCGATGACACGTTAGTGTGGGCCACGGTGACACGTTAGTGTGGGCCTCGATGTCACGTTAATGTGGGCCACGATGACACGTTAGTGTGGGCCACGGTGGCATGTGTTAGTGTGGGCCGCGATGTTACGCGTTAGTGTGGGCCACGGTGACACGCGTTAGTGTGGGCCACGGTGGCACGCGTTAGTGTGGGCCACTATGGCACGCGTTAGCGTGGGCCACGGTGGCACGCGTTAGTGTGGGCCACGATGGCACGCGTTAGTGTGGGCCACGATGGCACGTTAGTGTGGGCCACGATGACACGTTAGTGTGGGCCACGATGACACGTTAGTGTGGGCCATGATGTCACGTGTTAGCGTGGGCCACGATGACACGTTAGTGTGGGCCACGGTGGCACGCGTTAGCGTGGGCCACGGTGGCACGCGTAAGCGTGGGCCACGGTGGCACGCGTTAGCGTGGGCCACGGTGGCACGCGTTAGCGTGGGCCACGGTGGCACGCGTTAGCGTGGGCCACGATGGCACGTGTTAGTGTGGGCCGCGATGGCACGTTAGTGTGGGCCACGATGACACGTTAGTGTGGGCCACGATGACACGTTAGTGTGGGCCACGGTGGCATGTGTTAGTGTGGGCCGCGATGTTACGCGTTAGTGTGGGCCACGGTGACACGCGTTAGTGTGGGCCACTATGGCACGCGTTAGCGTGGGCCACGGTGGCACGCGTTAGTGTGGGCCACGATGGCACGCGTTAGTGTGGGCCACGATGGCACGTTAGTGTGGGCCACGATGACACGTTAGTGTGGGCCACGATGACACGTTAGTGTGGGCCATGATGTCACGTGTTAGCGTGGGCCACGATGACACGTTAGTGTGGGCCACGGTGGCACGCGTTAGCGTGGGCCACGGTGGCACGCGTTAGCGTGGGCCACGGTGGCACGCGTTAGCGTGGGCCACGATGGCACGTGTTAGTGTGGGCCGCGATGGCACGCGTTAGTGTGGGCCGCGATGTCACGTGTTAGAGTGGGCCACGATGGCACGCGTTAGTGTGGGCCGCGAAGTCACGTGTTAGCGTGGGTCACGATGTCACGCGTAAGCGTGAGCCACGGTGGCACGCGTTAGCGTGGGCCACGGTGGCACGCGTTAGCGTAGGCCACGGTGGCACGCGTTAGCGTGGGCCACGATGGCACGCGTTAGTGTGCACCGCGATGTCACGTGTTAGAGTGGGCCACGATGGCACGCGTTAGTGTGGACCGCGATGTCATGTGTTAGAGTGGGTCACGATGGCACGCGTTAGCGTGGGGCGCGATGTCACGTGTTAGTGTGGGCCACGATGGCACTCGTTAGTGTGGGCCACGATGTCACGTGTTAGAGTGGGTCACGATGGCACGCGTTAGCGTGGGGCGCGATGTCACGTGTTAGTGTGGGCCACGATGGCACGCGTTAGTGTGGGCCACGGTGGCACGCGTTAGTGTGGGCCACGATGACACGTGTTAGTGTGGGTCACGATGTCACGTGTTAGTGTGGGCCACGATGGCACGCGTTAGTGTGGGCCACGGTGGCACGCGTTAGTGTGGGCCACGGTGGCACGTCTTAGTGTGGGCCACGATGGCACGTGTTAGTGTGGGCCGCGATGTCACGCGTTAGAGTGGGCCACGATGACACGCGTTAGTGTGGGCCGCGATGGCACGTGTTAGTGTGGGCCACGATGGCACGCGTTAGCGTGGGCCCCGGCTCCAGGGTGGGCGGGAGCCCCCCTATCGCCGCTCGGCCTTGTCTACACAGCCCACGTCGACGTGGAGACGTCACGATAACAACACGTGTGGTTGATGCAGTGGCACGATTCCTTGCAAAAGCTTTCCGTTTGGTGTTTCAACATCTTAACACACCTGTTTTGTTGCCAGAAATGGTCAAACTTATTCTGATATTGTGATACTGGCAAGGGAGGTACTGTGATGGAGCTGCTCACGCCGAGTTCTCAATGTCCTGACGGTGGCTTTGTCCTTGTGCTGGTCGCCGTGTGGCGTCCTCTGGTCTAGCACTGTTTGAGACGAGGCTCTAAAGAAAGCTGTCTCTGGTGTGGACCAATCAGTTTCAAAGACAATGCTTCATCATATACTACCGGAGCGTGTTTTTTTAGTTGTTTTCATATTCACCACAAGTACCGTGTGTGGTTAATGCAGTGACATGATTCCTTGCAAAACGTTTCTGTTTGGTGTTTTAACATCTTAACTGTTTTATTGACATAAAGGATAAACCCTATTCTCATAACAATACGACTATTTACTATTTTTATTTTACCAGGTGAAGCCCACTGAGCTACAGTATGTAGTTCTTTTTTTCAGAAGCGACCTGGCCACACACGGTCGCTCAACGAAGTGGCTTATCGCGTGGAAATTCACAAGTCAAATAATCTAAATGCGTGATGTTGATTCTTAATGTGGAGGGAAAAACCGGAGGTCCCGGAGAAAAATCCACACGACCACGGAGAGAACATGCAAACTCCACGTGTTCAGTTTAATACGTAGGCTCTTGCGACCAACTAGCTTCATCAGGCTCTCGCTTGATGAATCGAGTTGTAATTACTGATGAAACGTCGTACTCAGATTGTAAATGTTGTGGCTTGGCTCTGCAACACACCGATGTGCTGTACCAGTGACGAATTGGCCACGTTCTGTTTACGTGACAGCCCTTACTAGTTGGCTGTGTCGGGTGGTGGCGGGTTTAAACGACACATTTATATATTTATGCGATCTAACCCAAAAAACCTACACATACTCAGGTGTCAGGGTCGGGATCGAACCCACGACCTCCTGTATACCAAGTGAGGCAGATGACATCTTGCCACCACGCGCCTATCGGTGGGCCCAATGCATCGCCCCCTCCCCCCCTGGCGTTGCGGGCCTCACCGTGCCGCGACCCTTGATGAGGACGACGGTGCTGACGACGGAGGCCCTTGCCGATCGCCACGGCGACGCGGGCAGCGCCACGCTGAGCGACCGCGTGCGGGGCCGCGGGCCCGCATCCTGCGGGGAGAGAGGGGCACGGCGCGGGAGGAGACGGAGCCACCTCTTAGATTCCTTCACCTCCCACGCCGAGGGGCATGGGCTACCGGACCCTGTCTCGTCTCCGCCACCACCACCACCACCACACTCGCTCACCTGCCAACCCAATCAAGCACTCGCTCACCTGCCAACCCACTCACTCACCCCCTCACCTACACACTCGCAGCACTGGCACACACAGCACTGGCACACACAGCAAAAAGATAAAAATGCAAAGATCCTCAGTATAGCCTGAACAGACTGTCGGGGCAAGTGCTGTTAGCGGTCACCTATGAAGGCCGGCACAGCACACGAGGGGGTGGGTAGCCAGCACCACGGCCGGCCGCACCACCCACTCAATCACGCACTCATTCAACACACTCACCCACTCACACACTCATCGCAATATTGCACCACCACACTGCAGGTCACCCACTCACCTCAAGGCGATTCGCTGCTCGACCTGGCCCTGAGGTTTGCTCTCTCACCGCTGAGCGAGCTGACACAACCGTGGCTGGTGGCGCGTCGTGACGACGCTTGCACACTACGCGACGATTTAATTTGTTTGACTGCGTCGGGTGGTGGAGGGTCTTACACAATGTTGGTCAGATCATCACGTGCCCTTATGCAAAAACTAAATTACGAATCATAATCATGGCTTGCGAAAACAAATATTATTCGTGTTCAGATAACGGCCACGATGTTAAATTGTGTTGCCTGTGGGATGGGCGGGGGAGCCGGGACGGGGAGTGAGAGGGGGAGCCAGGAGGGGGAGCCAGGAGGGGGAGCCAGGAGGGGGGGGGGGGAGCCGGGAGGGGGAGTTAGAGGGGGAGCCGGGAGGGGGAGTTAGAGGGGGAGCCAGGAGGGGGGGGAGCCGGGACGGGGAGTGAGAGGGGGAGCCAGGAGGGGGAGCCAGGAGGGGGAGCCAGGAGGGGGGGGAGCCGGGAGGGGGAGTTAGAGGGGGAGCCGGGAATGGGAGGGGGGAGGGAGAGCCGGGAGGGGGGAGTCGGGAGGGGGGTATCCTCACCTGCGTGGCGGGAACGTCGAGGAGCAGCTGCGGGGGGAGCGACAACTTCCTGGGGCCCTCAGCGCCCTCCCCTCTCCCCCCTCCTCCGCGTGGCGCCGCCGCCAGGGACCACGCCGGGGGCTGTCCACCGGCGTCAACCCCTCCTGCGGGAGGTCGGCAGGGGATCTGACCTGTGTCACTCTGTGTCACTCTGTGGGTCTCTGTGTCACTCTGTGTCACTCTGTGTGTCTCTGTGTCACTCTGTGTCACTCTGTGTCACTCTGTGTGTCTCTGTGTCACTCTGTGTGTCTCTGTGTCACTCTGTGTCACTCTGTGTCACTCTGTGGATCTCTGTGTCACTCTGTGGATCTCTGTGTCACTCTGTGTCACTCTGTGTCACTCTGTGGATCTCTGTGTCACTCTGTGTCACTCTGTGCATCTCTGTGTCACTCTGTGTCACTCTGTGCATCTCTGTGTCACTCTGTGTCACTCTGTGCATCTCTGTGTCACTCTGTGTCACTCTGTGCATCTCTGTGTCACTCTGTGGATCTCTGTGTCACTCTGTGTCACTCTGTGTCACTCTGTGCATCTCTGTGTCACTCTGTGTCACTCTGTGGATCTCTGTGTCACTCTGTGTCACTCTGCGTCACTCTGTGGATCTCTGTGTCACTCTGTGCCACTCTGTGTCACTCTGTGCATCTCTGTGTCACTCTGTGTCACTCTGTGCCACTCTGTGTCACTCTGTGGATCTCTGTTGATCTCTGTGGATCTCTGTGTCACTCTGTGGATCTCTGTGTCACTCTGTGGATCTCTGTGTCACTCTGTGGATCTCTGTGTCACTCTGTGGATCTCTGTGTCACTCTGTGCATCTCTGTGTCACTCTGTGGATCTCTGTGTCACTCTGTGTCACTCTGTGTCACTCTGTGGATCTCTGTGTCACTCTGTGGATCTCTGTGGATCTCTGTGGATCTCCTGTGGATCTCTGTCACTCTGTGGATCTCTGTGTCACTCTGTGTTACTCTGTGTCACTCTGTGTTACTCTGTGTCACTCTGTGTTACTCTGTGTCACTCTGTGGATCTCTGTGTCACTCTGTGTCACTCTGTGGATCTCTGTGTCACTCTGTGGATCTCTGTGTCACTCTGTGTCACTCTGTGTCACTCTGTGCATCTCTGTGTCACTCTGTGTCACTCTGTGGATCTCTGTGGATCTGATCTCTGTGTCACTCTGTGGATCTCTGTGGATCTCTGTGTCACTCTGTGTCACTCTGTGCATCTCTGTGTCACTCTGTGTCACTCTGTGGATCTCTGTGGATCTCTGTGTCACTCTGTGGATCTCTGTGTCACTCTGTGTCACTCTGTGTCACTCTGTGGATCTCTGTGTCACTCTGTGGATCTCTGTGTCACTCTGTGGATCTCTGTGTCACTCTGTGTCACTCTGTGGATCTCTGTGTCACTCTGTGGATCTCTGTGTCACTCTGTGTCACTCTGTGGATCTCTGTGTCACTCTGTGTCACTCTGTGCCACTCTGTGGATCTCTGTGCATCTCTGTGTCACTCTGTGTCACTCTGTGCATCTCTGTGTGACTCTGTGTCACTCTGTGGATCTCTGTGTCACTCTGTGTCACTCTGTTCGTCTGTGTGTCACTCTGTGGATCTCTGTGTCACTCTGTGTCAGTCTGTGGATCTCTGTGTCACTCTGTGGATCTCTGTGTCACTCTGTGCATCTCTGTGTTACTCTGTGGATCTCTGTGGATCTCTGTGTCACTCTGTGGATCTCTGTGTCACTCTGTGTCACTCTGTGTCACTCTGTGCATCTCTGTGTCACTCTGTGAATCTCCGTGTCACTCTGTGTCACTCTGTGTCACTCTGTGGATCTCTGTGTCACTCTGTGGATCTCTGTGTCACTCTGTGCATCTCTGTGTCACTCTGTGGATCTCTGTATCACTCTGTGTCACTCTGTGGATCTCTGTGTGACTCTGTGGATCTCTGTGTTACTCTGTGTCACTCTGTGTCACTCTGTGCATCTCTGTGTCACTCTGTGTCACTCTGTGGATCTCTGTGGATCTCTGTGTCACTCTGTGGATCTCTGTGGATCTCTGTGTCACTCTGTGTCACTCTGTGCATCTCTGTGTCACTCTGTGTCACTCTGTGGATCTCTGTGGATCTCTGTGGATCTCTGTGTCACTCTGTGGATCTCTGTGTCACTCTGTGTCACTCTGTGGATCTCTGTGTCACTCTGTGGATCTCTGTGTCACTCTGTGGATCTCTGTGTCACTCTGTGTCACTCTGTGGATCTCTGTGTCACTCTGTGGATCTCTGTGTCACTCTGTGTCACTCTGTGGATCTCTGTGTCACTCTGTGTCACTCTGTGCCACTCTGTGGATCTCTGTGCATCTCTGTGTCACTCTGTGTCACTCTGTGCATCTCTGTGTGACTCTGTGTCACTCTGTGGATCTCTGTGTCACTCTGTGTCACTCTGTTCGTCTGTGTGTCACTCTGTGGATCTCTGTGTCACTCTGTGTCAGTCTGTGGATCTCTGTGTCACTCTGTGGATCTCTGTGTCACTCTGTGCATCTCTGTGTTACTCTGTGGATCTCTGTGGATCTCTGTGTCACTCTGTGGATCTCTGTGTCACTCTGTGTCACTCTGTGTCACTCTGTGCATCTCTGTGTCACTCTGTGAATCTCCGTGTCACTCTGTGTCACTCTGTGGATCTCTGTGTCACTCTGTGAATCTCTGTGTCACTCTGTGCATCTCTGTGTCACTCTGTGGATCTCTGTGTCACTCTGTGTCACTCTGTGGATCTCTGTGTGACTCTGTGGATCTCTGTGTCACTCTGTGGATCTCTGTGTCACTCTGTGTCACTCTGTGGATCTCTGTGTCACTCTGTGTCACTCTGTGCATCTCTGTGTCACTCTGTGTCACTCTGTGTCACTCTGTGCATCTCTGTGTCACTCTGTGGATCTCTGTGTGACTCTGTGGATCTCTGTGTCACTCTGTGGATCTCTGTGTCACTCTGTGTCACTCTGTGCATCTCTGTGTCCCTTTGTGCATCTCTGTGTCACTCTGTGTCACTCTGTGCATCTCTGTTTCCCTTTGTGCATCTCTGTGTCACTCTCTGGATCTCTGTGTCACTCTGTGTCACTCTGTAGATCTCTGTGTCACTCTGTGCATCTCTGTGTCACTCTGTGTCACTCTGTGTCACTCTCTGGATGTGTGTGTCACTCTGTGGATCTCATATTCTTAGGTTTTTTTCGGTAAAGTCTCCATGCAACTCTATGTCCTATTTAACAGTGCAGCTCAACGCGGCCTTCCAATCTGGAATAATGACGCCTGAGTGTGAGCGTGAGGGGCAGCCGTAACGACGGCGTCTCCAGAACGCAGCGCTCTGGCCGCACGGCGAGGTTGGGGTTCATGGAGCTCGAGGTCACGGTTTCTGGGGTTAGGGCCGAGGGTTAGGGGTCACGGTTGTGGTCGTGGTTTGGGGGGAGGGGTGGTGTGAGTAGCCGCCCACCGAGTAGGGGTCACCTCGGGCAGCGCAGGGCGTGTGGCACGACCACAGGAGGTCGGGCAGCGACTGGGTCATCACGCGGTCGGCAAGGTCACAGAGGTCGTCGGGGTCAAGGAAGTTGAGGTCCACCCCCTGCAAAGCGAGAGATACAATGATCATCACGCACACATCATCACCGTCGTCATCATCGACATCGTCAAACGACTGCTGGCACCGCATGAGCTCGTGGGATTGAATCGGGGAGTCCAGCAGTGCCCGTGGTCAAACTGAGGCACAAAACAACACCCAACATCGCATGGCACGTGGTTCCGCGCTTAATTTGTCTAAACGCCAGCTCTGAGAGTTAAATAAAAGAATCGGGTTGGCTGTCATGCGACGAACATTCCTCTCATATGGCCTAGCAGGTGGGCAACTGCAGCCCCCTACTGTGTGCGGTCCAGAGGTGTCACCTGAAGAACGGAGCTCAGAGGTAGCTCTGCTACATCCGCTTCTGCGGGGCCGTTCTCTCGTGATGCGGAGGTGGATCGGACTGCTCTGCGAGATTTCCCAACGGATTCTGTGCCTCATAGCGTGGCGCGGTTAGTTACGAGGCCCAGTGGTGGAATATCCACATTCTTATGGCGGGGGCGAGTCTATCCATAAGATAATCACTCTTGTTGACTTCCCCGCAAAGTGGTACCTATTTTATGAGCTAAACTACCCCTCCCCACCCCCCCAACTAGGGTTTGAACTCGCAACCTTCCGATTGCGACGCGCTCACTCGGCCGATGAGCTGCCCGGAGTCTGCGTGTGCCGACCGCGTGTGTCACTCAGTGCGCCTCACCCTCCTGTGCAACGTTGCCACACCCTCGCGGGGGTCATCGGGGTCAAAGCTTGACCCTGCGTACGCTGCGAGCCACTGCGTCCCACCACCTACATCGTGATAACACAGCGCGCACAATCCATCCACTCACAATCCATCCACTCACAATCCATCCACTCACAATCCATCCACTCACAATCCATCCACTCACAATCCATCCACTCACAAGCCACAATCATCCACTCACAATCCATCCACTCACAATCCATCCACTCACAATCCATCCACTCACAAGCCACAATCATCCACTCACAATCCATCCACTCACAATCCATCCACTCACAATCCATCCACTCACAAGCCACAATCATCCACTCATAATCCATCCACTCACAATCCATCCACTCACAATCCATCCACTCACAAGCCACAATCATCCACTCATAATCCATCCACTCACAATCCATCCACTCACAATCCATCCACTCACAAGCCACAATCATCCACTCACAATCTATCCACTCACAATCCATCCACTCACAATCCATCCACTCACAATCCATCCACTCACAAGCCACAATCATCCACTCATAATCCATCCACTCACAATCCATCCACTCACAATCCATCTGTAATAAAGGACTCTTGCACCGGGTCTGTCTCCGTTGTCCTTTATTGGTTCGTACAATCTTGCCCGCACGGCATCCTCACTCAGTGTCTCCTCTGTCTCCCGCTCGGCAGCCACACCGCTGCCCGTCAGTCCTGCAGCCCCGTTGCTGCTCCACCATGCAGTCCCACTGCTGCTCGGTATGCAGCCTCACTGCTGCCCGTCTGCAGCCCCACTGCTGCCCAATGTGCAGCCCCACCGCCGCTCGCTATGCAGCCCCGCTGCTGGCTCTCTGTCGCCTCTCTGCCCGGACACCGCTGGCCGACGGTGCCGAGTCTCCGACTTGTGGCGATCGCACCACTTTCCTCCTCCTGCCCCGCGTGGCCTCCTTCTCTCTCTACTCTGACTCTCTCCTCGAACCCTTCCGGTTCCTGTCCTTAAAAGCTCTCTCCCCACGTGACCCTAACTCCTCCCACTTGTTACGTCACATCCAGCGAGCCCGTTTACGCTCGCATTACACCACCCTCCCCCGTAGAGAAAATTCCAGCCGTCCTCGGCTGAAACAGAACAAGTAATGCGAGCGACCTCCAACCATCAGCCGTGACCGGACAACGGAGAATATAACGATAATAACAACAAGAACAACAACGATCAATGAAAAGAAAGAGATTTTGAACGCGTGCGGGTCGCCTGCCCGTCCCGGACGAGCGGCGGTCCCCCTGCAGACCGAGAACGCGACGGCGTTTTAGGAGCGACGGGATTAAAACCGCCCGTCGCTATTGGAGGCCCGTCAACGCCAAGGTCCCGTTCCCCCGAAAGACCCGAGTCCGGGGTGTCCCGCAACCGTGTCCGTGGTGGGGTTGGAGGGGCGGCGGGGCCAGGTGTCCCCGCAGCCGTGGTAGGCCCACCCAGAGCAGGATTCACTGCCTCCGCCAGCGTCACGGCCGGTTCGTCTGTAGAAGGCACGACAGGCGCTCTTGCAGGGTCAACAGGTATAGGCAGAGGTGCGTCAGTAGCAACAGACATCGGCAAGGCAACATCAGGAGATGACGCATCCGTCCGTGGGGCCACGTAGGGTTTCAACCGAGACGTATGGACGTACCAGCGCCGAGATCCGAACCGAACGCGCGCGGACTGCGGGTTAGGAACCTCAATAAGCCGGACAGGCCCCTGCCATGGTTTATGCAGTTTAGGGGAGGTTCCTGCTCGCACCTGCGGGCAATGCAGCCAGGCCATGTCCCCCACCTTCCAGGGGCATTTCCCCCTCGAGCGTCGAGCGCAACGTTCGTTCCGGGCCTGGGTCTTGGCAGTAGCCAATCAGGCCTCCTCCCGCGCCTCGGCGACGTGGCGAACAGCGTCTTGAATGTAGTCGGGGAGAGGCTTAATAGGGTCTCTCGCCCCCGTTCCCAACTGCACGACCATTGGCGGCACGTTCTCGCGGCCGTACATGAGAAAAAATGGAGAATACCCTGTGGACGCGTGAGGCGTCATCCGGTATGCCGAGAGTACCCCAGGGATATGCAAATCCCAGTCAGCTTGCTTCTCATTAACCGTGTGACACAGCATGGCTGACAGCGTCCGATTTAGCCGTTCCACCATGCCATCCGTCTGCGGGTGGTAAAGAGATGCACGGATATTTTTAGTCCCCAGAGCAGCGCACACCTCGCCCAACAATTTAGAAGAAAAATTTCGGCCCTGATCCGTGAGCAGCCTCTCCGGCGCCCCTTTGTCCATGACATATCCAAATAGAAAGGCGTTCGTAATGGACGCCGCCGACTGGTCGGGCAAGGGCCAGGCCATCGGCCAGCGGGAGAGATACTCCACCTCAACTAGCAAGAATTTATTGCCCCTAGCGGATGGCGGGAAAGGTCCCAGAATATCCAACGCCACCAACTCGTTAATCCGAGACACCTGTATAGACTGCACTGGCGGCACATATGGGTGTTTAGGCGGCTTTCGCCGGGCACACTCGGGACACGCGCGAATGTGTCCGACGACATCCGTCGTCATGCCGTGCCAGAAGTAGTCTCGCTGCAACGTCAACAAGGTTTTCTGCACCCCCAGGTGTAATAGAGTGTTGCAATGCAGAGTCCTAATCAATTCGTACCGTAACGACGACAGGTACAACCAGACGCCAGCGATCATGTAACCCCTCCCTCCACATCAGCAGTCCGTCGCAAAGAGCGGCCCCCGGCGTCCCTCCGGAAAGCAGTCCCCCCCCCTCCTTTTGCAGCCCGACTCCGCAAAGCCCCCAACGAGTCATCAAGCATTTGTTCGCGAATCCACACCGATCGCGGCAGGTTCAGAACCCCATCGGCCGGTTCCGGGCACACTGGAGCCTCAGGCACCTCAACCGCTGACACAATAGGCCGAGGGGGTTGCTGAGCCAGTGTACACCTATGCGTACCCGACGCGCAAGCGCAAGGGAACCCTTGAGGTAACCTGGAGAGCGTGTCTGCATTCGCGTGCCGCGACCCCTTCCGATGCTGAATTTGGAAAGAAAACTCCTGCAGGGTGTCCAACCATCGTGCCAGTTGGCCAGATGGTTGGTCTACCCTCAGAGCATATTGTAAAGCCACATGATCCGTGTGCACAATAAACGAACGGCCGTAGAGATACGGCCGATATTGGTGGAAAAAAAAGACAATAGCCCAAAGTTCGCGGCGAGTAACGCAGTAGCGGGTTTCTGCAGGGGACAAGACGCGGCTACCGTAAGCTACCACGCGTTCTACACCGCCCTTGGACTGTGACAGAACGGCCCCGATGCCAGTGTCACTCGCGACCGTGTCCAGAATGAAAGGGTGATCGAAATCGGGATAGTCCAATGTTGGCGCCGTCGCCAAACGATCGCGTAGGCCCTTAAACGCCGCTTCCTCTGGCGGTCCCCAACTGAACTTCCGTCCTTTACCCATAAGGAGGTGCAGAGGCCGAGCGATCGTTGCAAAGTTGGGAACGAACCTACGGTAATATGAGGCAAACCCCAAGAAGGAGATGCACATCCCCCACCGTGGCCGGGGTTGGCCAGTCGCGGACGCACGCCGTCTTCTCCGGGTCCGTGGCAACCCCGTCGGCACTGACTATGTGTCCCAAATAGCGCACGGATCGTTGCAATAGGTGACATTTTTAGGTTTAAATTTTAGATTGGCGGAGCGCATCCTAGCGAACACCGCCTCCAGACTCTGTAGATGTTCGTCAAATGTGCGGCTAAAGACGATGACGTCGTCTAAATATATCAGACATGTCTCCCACTGCAACCCCGTTAATACCAGCTCCATCAACCTCTGAAATGTGGCGGGTGCAGCATTTAACCCCATCGGAAGACAATTAAATTGAAATAGGCCCTGCGGCGTACGGAAAGCAGTCTTTTCCCTCGATGGCTCATCCAGGGGAAGTTGCCAGAATCCCGAAGAGAGATCCAGCATTGAAAAGAACTTCGCACCCGACAAGGCATCGAGGGAATCATCCATACGCGGCAGGGGGTACGCATCCGCCACGGACACTTTGTTTAATTTGCGAAAATCGACGCAAAATCGCAGTTTGCCGTCTTTCTTTTTCACCAAGACTACCGGCGCGCCCCATGGGCTGTTAGACGGAGATATTATGTCTGCAGCCAGCATGTCTTCCACTGCTCCACGAACATGGTCCCGCTCCGCCGGGCTCATCCGATGCGAATTCAACCGAATCGGAGCAGCGTCCCCCGTGTCAATGTGATGGGAAAGCAGGGAGGTGCGTCCCAAGTCAAAATCATCCGAGCTAAACACATCGGAATAACTTAGCAACCGCGCGCGAAGCGCGGATCGCTGTTCCCCCATCAGGGATGAATTCTCCCCACACAACTCGGCAACCCATCGATCATCTTGGCCCGCAGGGCCCGAAACTCCGCCTACCACATCCCGGCGGCCCAGAACGTCATTGGCCATGAACGCCGTCGTGGCATGGCCCACGACCATTCCGTCCGGTACGCAAACATTCTCCGAACTCCCATTTAGCACCTGCAAAAACGGCGGCTGGCCCGGCCGGACAATAGTTTGCGCCCCAACCAATGCCGACCCACCCGCTATGGTTGCGGACGGTGATAACAAAACCCCAGGCGCTCCCTCTAGACCAGGCACCGGTTTCCGATATCGCAAAGGGATAAGCATCTGTGAACCAGGTGGAATGTCAACAGATACCTCGGACAGTGCCTGCACCTGGCAGACCGGAGCGGGCCGCCCCCAGGGCGACGGCAAAAATGAAATTTTTCGACCCCCCGGTAGTTCAATGCAATTTTGATTAACCCTTATTTGAATGGGCATTTTAGCCAGAAAATCGGTCCCCAACAAACACGGAACCGCAAGGGACCTCGAAATCAACACAGTTCCTGAGGCCGACACCCCCCCGATGGATATATTGGCGTCCACCTGGCCCACAATGCCCATACTTCCCCCGTTCGCTGCTATGCAGGAATCATAAACCGGCCACACTGCGTCCGGCGGGATGCCCAAAAGATGGAAAATGACATCT